CCTTCTATAAGATAGTGATCCATGTTAAGAAAAGCACCACTTAGCCATACTTATCTGAAGTGCTGAGAGAATGAACAAAGACCTCTGACTTAATGGTCAATTAGCTTCCCTTTAAGTCTGTCCATCTGTTCAGTGAAATAGCAACTTCTAATGAGGGTCGCGTGAGAGGAAAAAGCAAACATTCGGTGTCCCATGCTACTGTGCAGGAGCACAAAGAGACACCACAAAAATAGGCCTGTATTTATCTAAATGCATACAGGTTATATTTTTAGAACACAGTACATCAATAGTGGAACTCTAACAAAACTTTTATCAATGCCTCAGCCAAGAAAGTCATGTTTTCCGCAGCACTGGTAGCATGTTTTAAAACGTTGGTTTGTTTGATGGTATCCAAGATCACCGGAAACATCATGGACAGATTGCTCTGTGTGACTAAGCCAAACTTAGAACCCATTCAGTTTTGTGGCGAGCTGGATGGCTAGCATGATTATGCTGCACATTTAGGTTTGTTTTTTTTATAGGACTTCTTATCATTGTGAGATAAGGCGGGGCTTTTCAAAGTCTAAGGTGCGCTTCCACTTTGGGTCGCCAAAGCTCTAGAAAGAATACCAATAGACAAGGGGTATGACAATAATTCAATATTAATATACATTACAATATAATCTGATTCACTAATGACGATATTTCCAGCTTTTTTTATTGTCTGTACACTGTCACAAGTACAGAGCAACGAAATGAACTCTGTATTTAACCCATCCCCTTGTGGAGCAATGGGCTGCCATTGTGCAGCGCCCAGGGAAGAGTTAAGAGTCTTTGCTCAGGGACCCAAAGTGGCAGTGTGGGAGTGGGGCTTGGACTCAGAACCATGGGATTCCAAGCTCTATGCCCTAACCACTAGGCCGCCACTTCCTGATATGAGTTTTCAACAGATTTCATATATATAATATACTTTACAGTCAACACCATTTGTCACTAACAGACGTTTTGGGCAAAATTAAGTTTAATGTGTTTTTTTTTTTTTTTTTTTTTTTTTTTTTAAGTAAAGAGTTATAAAATGTTCTGTTTGAGATTTATAAACCTGTCAAAACTGTTTGTAGGGGATTGTGTCATGGGTATTCTTGGTATTTCTGCTGAGACTTTTAATTTGTTCTATCGATATCAAAATTATATTGTATCAACTAGAATCCAATATGTTTGACTTCATTTCAAAATCAACAACTATAATGTCCGTCATAGGCCTGGCCATATTGTCCAGCCCTATGAAAGACATTTATAGCTAGACTGTGTCTGTCTGAGGAGACTTACTTTGTAATAATAGATTTGCTTTTTGTTTTATTTTTATTGCCACACAGAATGCTTTGTATTCTGTAGTGTTGATTTATTGCTCCGACATTTTTACCACTGGTGATTCCTACCCTAAATTAAAATCAGTTTAGTTTTGGTGGTGATCAAGATTACAATCTGCAGAGGATTTTTTTACGGATTCCTTTACATTGTGAGATGAGGAAACAACTGCTTGGTGGTCTACACGCAGAGTGTTTTCTGGCTACAGTTTGTAAGTTATTAAAGCAAAAACTGGCATAACTGCTGGACTGAAAGCAGAGAGAGATGAACTCTGAACACATCTTATTTTTGTCAAAAGACAGCACTCAACAGCGCAACTAGTTTGGAAATTTCATATATAGTTTCTTTAAAAAGAAGTGATGTACAATGGCCAATTATATCCTATAATGCTGTATGTGAAGCAGTAAAATAAACCTGCTTCTACCAAGAAGAGTATTAAAGCTTTAACGGTGTGATTGCAGCAGAATGCAAACATCTGTTAATGTCTTATTAAAAGAAAAACTATAAAAAAAATCTTTGTTAAAAGGCTGAAACTTAAGTAATTGAATTGTTGTTGTTTATTTTGGATACATTTTTCACAACATTACAAAAGGTGCTGAAATTGCAGATTGGTTTTAACTGCTCCTTTCTTAATCCTGATAAACTACCTCATATTAGTGATGGTGATGCATCTAAGCAAGCAGCCAGATTTTCAAAGTAAGAGATATTTAGCAACCTAAGAACACCAAATGGTAGGTACAACAAATTTTAAATGTTTTTTAAACGAAGGAGAGAAACACTTAAAGTCTACTCTTTTTGCTACTAATTGGTGCCATGTGGTAATGGTGAGTAGTAGACATTTGACTGGTCTGACCAGTTTATAAGTTTAATACATTACCAGCTCTTTAGATTAACTACAATGCTAGTATTGTATCCAAGGATCTGAAAACACCCAGCTGAGCAGCTAAAAACAAAAACATGACGGTTTATTGCCTCTTATCATAGCACCATCACTGCAGACCTTCACTTTAATAGCCTTGTGTTATATGGTACTGTTGGCATAGAGAGCTATGAGCTTCAAATAGAAAAAAGCTAATTGAAGTTTCCTCTGTGCTCCTTAAATACCCAGTTCAGGCGGTGTACTGTAATGTATCCCTGAAAGGTATAACTCCATATAGATCAACTAAAACTAATAATGACAGTAATACTGACAGTAAAGGAGAAATGAGAACTGATAAATTAAGATGTTCATATTTTTACTAATATATAGTATCTAAATTTTGGTTTGTTCTGAAATTAAATTAATTTGATTCAGACATGTCTACAATGGCAAAATTGCGAATGACTGCTTGGATGAAATATTTAGTAGCCTATTAAATTTTAGGAACAACATATTCAAAACGCTGGCAAAAAGTATATGTGACTATCTGGATGGATTCTCAGCACATTTTTCTGCACACATCTGATGTAGATCTTAAAGTTATAGTGGAGGATTTTTGCACATGCAAACCCTATACCCACACCCGAGAGGAAAAACCTATTAAAACGCATGCAAGAGCATGCTCAGGCTCATTTCTCCTCGTGCACGCTCACTTTAAAAGTTGCTGCTTGTATCACTCATACAAGCTTACTTTCCAAAAGAAGATTTATAATTTTTCAAACTGGTAAGTGAAAATGACGAGCACGTAGGATGGCCTTGTGTAAACATATTACTGGAATGATTGACAATTAGGAGGACCACTTATTTTAATGATCCACCCGGAAAAAAGAACATCCTCCAATAAACCTTTAAGCCCCTTTCAAGCTTACAACCTTAACCTGTAATTTGCTGGGTAATTATAAAGATCACTCTATTGTGAGTGAAGCTGTTACAGTACAGCCAAAGGTTAAGAGTGATGCATTGCTCAACAGTCCAGACTCCTGTTAAATAGTTTTAACCTCCGTAGTAACAGCATCACTGACAAACAGACTGGCAACATTTAATCAAGCCAGCAGTAAGGTTTTTTTTAAAGATGGCTGAAAACTGGTGTCGGCCAAGAGTAAATGTAAAGCCAGTAGGTACAGATGTAAATTATTAATGAACTTCAAAGCCAAAGATATTGTCTTCTTTTTATTGCTAATCATCTGTTTAAGTTTAAATCCTTTTTAAGAGGCTGACTTATTCAGTTTAAGCAATACCCCTGACATTACTACCACCTGCAGGTGATGTTAGGTGCATCTTTTCCTCCATCTCCAGGTTAAGTGTGAAACAAATGGGCCAGTAAATACTGGGACTTAGTTGCATGTGTTTAACTCGTTAGCCTTTTATTTAACTTTAAAAAGTGGTTCCAGTAATATACAGGGACTTAGGTGTGAAAGAGGCTTTTCTTTAAGATGCTACTGCTCAAGGTGAGCTGGCGATATTGTAAGAATGAAAAGAGCAAGGAAACAGACGAAAATGCTGATACTGTCTTGTAATTTTTAACAGTTATACAGCAATAATTTCTACTCAAAATATTGCCCTAATCTAACGCACATTTGTCCCCTCAACATCCACAATCTGATCTTTCCCTGGATCCTCCAGGATCTCTAATAGATTGTGATCTACTGACTACAAAGCCCAGTGGACTTCAGCTAACAATAATGTTGAAGATGCCAGTAAGAGAGGTTTAAAAATTTGTGAAATGGTGCATTACTCTGCTGGCAGTGGAGCGGCCATTATAATATAGTTACAATGTGAACCAAAAAAAAAGATAGACATAGTGAGCAAGAAATTGTAGTACCAACTGAGTGTCGTTTAAATGCCTCAGTCTACCTAAATGGCTTAAAGTGTGCCAAGAAATTGTCCCTCCCACCATTAACCCACTCCCAGCCTGACTGGCAAAATGGATTGAGGTTTTTATACCTTAATGCCAGGTTCAGCCTGTTATTTTTCAACCTTATTTTTTATCGTTACATTAAGGACCATTAGAGTTAATTTTAAGTTAGTGGCATGTTTGATGGTAAAGAAATATAACAATAAAAGTTAATCAGGTCTCTGACTCAGTTGCCGTCAAAGGAAAGAGACGGACAAAATAAAAGGAAACCGGGAAACTTCTAAGTGAGTGAAGTCCTGGAACAAAACATGGTGTTCTAACAAAATTACAACCTCTTCAACAGAAGTCGGCCACAAATAGGAAAGCTGTAGCCTTTGCATTTATGTGTGTCTCAAAAAGCAGAAGAAAAAAATAAAAATCACAGAGGAGTTCTTCTATGCGAACACTTGAACAGCGAGATCTGTCCCGGGTTTGTCTGACTCGACACAAAAGCCGACATGTCATTCTGTTTTCCTTTCGCCGCTCCTGAAGAACCCTGCTGAGGCATCAAAATGGCGTGGCGTGAGATTTGTCAGGGCTGCAAAAAGCTGACAGGAAACCGCAAAATAACCCTTAATGCAAGGATTTTAATTTTTTATTAGATAGTATTTGAATCTTAGAAGAATTTATTTATCTTTTTACAATAATTTCTTATCAGGCGACACTTAAGCCATTTTTAGCTTTGATGGCCTCATTAATGTATGTTTTTCGTTGGTGTAGAAAAAAAGGGAAAGTAAAAACTCAATAAATTAACATTTTCTTTTGTTTTTTCTTTGTTCTACAAATATCTTTTTCTGGCATTGAAAAAACACAGCTTAACCTTTGAAAATAATTCATGTACACTGCGATAAAATCATATTTATTTGTTCAGCACAGATAAAGTCTACGATTTACAAAAAGGTATGGCATACAGAGCATCATGTAATCAGATGGCTCACTCACATTCAACAACAGCATAAATAAACACTTAGCCCAGCATTCACAGCCTGTATTAAAGCACATATCTTTCTAACAATGTAATAAGACATTGGCCCACCCCTCCTTGTATTTGAAATATGTTTGTTTTTAAAAACATTATTTTGAACTTTTAAACCTGCAAGGTCTCACTTATTTGTAGAAAACAACAAGTAGAATTTCCTGTCTGGAATGTTTAATCGGCAGTCTTTTCCCGTCTTTTATACGATAACCGTTTTTGTTTTGCTTTTTTATATGTTTAATATTCTATATGTTTGAATTTATGTTTATAGCCTGGCTCATTAGATGAGTGGTAGTTTAGGTTCTGCTAAAAATACATAATAATCAGACCGTCCAAAACCTAAAAACGAAACCTCTTAATTTAAAGTTCATGTGCAGTATCTGATCTAACTGGTTCCATTGGGAGTTGTCTCCGTGACTGATAAAATTCTAGGTCGTCTCAAACCAAGTGCTGCTGATCTACTTTAAATGGTTTGCCAACATAGAAGTATGTCAGAAAACAAGCCAGAGAAAGCGAGAGAGAGAAAGTAGGTGCATTTTACTGCACTAAATCAATCATCTCAAGTATTTTTTATATCTAAAAAAAAGAAACGTTTCCTATATATAAGTATTGGAGAGTTACAATAGAAAAATTATTTTGCAAGTAACCCCAGTTGGACTTAAATCTAAAGCAAACCTATAAAACCACTGTTATAAAATGTTTTAGTTCAACAACATAGCTACTGTTGTTCTGAAAACTCATGATTTTTACACCGTGAGCTCTTCCAGCTATAAACATCCTTTATTTTTTTATTTTTTTTAGCATTTTTAACCAAGCAGGGCATGGAAATTTCCTCCTAGCCATCAGTGTCATTCCCGTGAGAACACGTAAGTTGATTGTTTCCCCCACAGGAAGAACGGAGTGAGTGTATGTGACCAACGGGAGCACTTTTAGGCACCATGGATTGTCCTCAAAGAAGTATTGTTCTGAAGGGACTGTAAAATAAGTTGCTGTGCAACAGAATTCTTCTAAACAAAAAAGATCTAAATTACAATGCTTGAAGCAGAAACCTACAATTCAAAGGATGAAAAGAAAAACAACTTTATAAAGTTGAAAATGGATGTTTTTGTTTCTTTGACTGCTGCTGAATGTAGGCTGGATATCACTTGAGAACAAGCTGAGCTCAGTGATTAAAAATAAAAACATAATATAAATGTCCTTTGATAAACATGTAGACTTATGTTTGTGTAAACATGAAAATATTTAGATAGCAGCAGAGAAGATGGCAGAAACGGGAATGGATAGATAAGAGCTAATTATTTCATGACACCCATCATGTACGATTATGAATGAGAAGGAAACAGAGACCAAAACAGATTGAACAGTCAGAATCTAGCCAATGGTCGAGTCTGGGCGTGCCTGCACACATTCATCATCTTCATTGTGCTTCAATCACACAAGAACACAAGTGCAAGACAAAAAGGTAACAGTTTAAATTGTTCATTTACATATTTCTTAGTTAAGTTAAAGCAAAAAGGTGCCATCTGCTTTAAATAGCTGATAAAACTTCAAACACTTCAGCTACCAAAGGAGTAAAGCAAACTCTGGAACTGAATTATTTTAAAACAGTCACACGTCTTTTAATTTAGCCCTCACTTGCTGTCAAAGAAAACCACTTCCCTCAACAGCTGATTATTATTCGTTTTTAAATAAAAGGCAACTTTATAACCCAATATACTCAGAAACAGTTGTAGACATGCACACAAAGCATCGCTGATGCGACAGAGTGCAGTAGACGGTTGATAATATTGTATAAACTCGCTCACATAGCAGATATTACATTTAGGGGAGAAAAAAGGTCAAAGTGTAACATCTTCTTTGGCACATTACTGCAGATGAGATATAAAGCTAAGGAATGTTTGTTTTTAACAGGACTCCTGAAAGCTGGAAACAAACTTTAGTACAATAAAAGTACAATTCAGTCTTATTTAAATGTTTTTCAGTTGTTTCTTTACATATTTATATATATAAATGCACAATAGGAACACCATTAACATGCACACAAATATTCAAGTCTTATACAAATGCTTTTGCATACTTTCACAATCACATAGGTCCACACTTTAAGATGCTTCCAGATCCCAAAGATGGAAAGGACACAACAGACTGTAAGCACAGTTAGATGGTACATTTAGACAACAGGGTGAATATAAAGCATTAAATACTTTACTTTCAATGCATTTTTCTTTTTCTGTATTTTTATTTAGACCTAAAAATACAGCCAGTGTAGTAACCCTGCTAACCCTATGTATAAAATTAATCTAGTCTGTACACTAGATGCAGGAAAAAACATATGCTTTCTTGGTGTTGAAAACACATTATGCTACATATAAAATTAAGGTGCAACAAAACTGGTAAAAATGCAAATATAAAGGGAGAAGTGCCACAATTGAGTAAGTAATTAAAGATTGAAGAAGACTAATTCATTAAGAAAAACAACTGGAACTAAATTGTTTAATTAACCATGTATCTATAGTTGTTTAGCTAGACTGAAATTTATTCTAGATTATTTAGAAAATAATACATCCAAATCTTATTTTATGCCAAAATATACAACTTATTCCGGTATGTACTAATACATATCAGTAACTGTCTCAAAAAGTCACTTTTTAAATGGGTGAATTTGTCAATGTACTAATTAGGCAGACCCCAACATCAGATTGTTTTATTGCACAGAAAATCAACTACTAAACAATCACTAGCAATGTTTGCCACTTCCTACCCAAATGTCTTCAGGGGTCTTTGATTATTAATGAAACATTAAATTACCATTTTAATGCATACACAATATTTTTATGTATTAATAAAGTAATTAATAAAGTAATAAGTAATAAAGTAGCCATGACTGAGAATTTAAAAGAAATGTTTAATTTTTTACTGTTATATAAAAACTAATTTAAAAAATGTAGTTTTGGACATATTAAATAATTCAAGAATCAGTACTTACTTTGTTTATTTAATGACTTTACTGGATTGTGGCTCTTTTGCCTGAACATCACTGAACCTCAGATTAGATTTTTGCCAGTTAAGCACTCGTACACCAAAGCTAGGTCCTTATAACAAATATTTGCAGTGTGCAAAACCCACAAATTCAACAGACATTTTAATAACATCAATAAATAACATTTAGTTAAAAGTTCAGGTTGGCTCCGCTGTTTTCTGCAGTCTCACTAAATCACATTGGCCCCTTGAACTGACTGGACCAGCATGTCTTTTATTTTGTTTGTGTTTTTTTTTTTTTAGTTTAATTCAACAAATTGTGTTAAACACAAAGGTCATGTTGAAAATGAAGCACATAAAACTTCATGAGAACCGTTTGGTTCTAGCATAATTTGGTAGTTTCTGCAGAAACAAGTCAAGTATTTAGTTCCAAAGACAGCAGATAAAGTTTTGTTGAACCTTTTGTTCAAAAAAGGTTTGTTTCCACAGAGAGGAGGCAAGGATTTCCTCCTCATACCAGAGCATTTCATCTGTCAGCTCCCCATCCATATCATCTTGTGTTTTCAACATTAAAAAAACACCTTGAAGGGCTAATGAGGCCCACATTCTGTTCCAGATTGCTCGGCTTTCAACCCTTTTCTCTCTGTCTCCATAGCCTTTAAAGGGAGAGCCAGAAGTAGCAGCAACAGAACGATACCATCTTCCATCTCTTAAAAGCACTTTTTAAGAGATTTTAAGAGCAGTCACTTTGGGCATTTTAACTCTAATGTAAGCTTGACACCAGGGTTTCCTTCTTCATTCGAGCTACACATGACATGTTGTACCAGCTCTCATATCCCCATTGTCATATCCATACCACTGCTTTGCACATCCCTTTTCAACAGAACCAACAAAAGCCTTTTTGGTTTTCTTGACTCCGAAGCCATCGCCGCTGCGCCGCAGACAGAAGGAGCAGAGCCGTTTGAGGCCCTTTCTGAATGCCGAGTTGGAGAGGCTGTAAATGAGACAGTTGCAGAAGCTGTTGCTGATAGCCAACCAGGTGGTAAGAAACGAGGCTACAGGGTGGTGGTATATCCCTCCGCTTTCCAACAGGAAGTACAGGATGTAGGGCAGCCAGAGGATGTAGAACACACTGGTTATTCGAAACAATACCATAGCATATCGCTTGTCTGGGTACGAAGACTGCTGATACTGAGGTTGGTGGTGCTGGTGCTTTTGTGGTTGCGTCAATTGGGGAAGCTGCCCTTGTTCTGCGTTGGTGCAATCCTTCATCACTGACCCCACAGCCATTCTGCCGCCCTGCTGCTGTTGGGGCCTGTACCGGGCGTGGCGCTCGCTGATTTCCCGAGTGTGCTGTCTGCAGATCTTGAAGATGTTGGCGTATGTGAAGCAGATTGTCAGAGCAGCTGGGGCGTAGAGCAGTGCAACAATGAAGGTAGTAAAAGCCGGACTAGTCCTCCACTCCACCGCACACCATTCTACCACATCGCCGTGATACCCGGGCTTCCCCCACCCAAGAAAAGACGGGAGGAACACCAACGCAGAGTATAACCATATTAGAACGATGCAGCAGCGTACCCGACAGGGCGTCACTAGAGATGAATAAGTCAGTGGTTGTGTGATGGCTATGTAGCGGTCTACGCTCACGCATGCGAGCGATGCCATTGAAACTGACTTCAAAACTGACACCATGTACCCAAACACTTGGCAGGTCAGTTTAGGGTCCAGTCCCTGCAAATGGTGGAGCAGAGACAGAGAGGGGAAAAGGCAGCTGACCCCCACTAGCAAATCTGCATATGCCATCGTCTGGATAAAAGCACTGGTGGTGTGCTGGCTGAGCAAAGGAGCACAGTGAAACACAAAGATCACCACCAAGTTTCCACAAATGATAAGGATAGCAAGGAGTAGAATAACAGATACCTCAAGAAGGCAGGTGCTGAAAATTTGAGAATAGCCTACTTCAAGTAAGCAGAAAGGAGCGGACACATTTGAGTCCAGTAAGCTTTGGTTCAGTGGATCCAGGGAGGAATTCATGATCTCAGGCATTAAAAGGCATAAAGAGGCCCTTAAAGGGTAGGATAAATCCAAAGAGGTGCTATTCGGTCTGGCAGGCAGTTGTTTTTATGAGCCGTTATGTTTCAGTTCAAACGAAGACCTCCATGCTTAATTTCAAAAGGGCAGATAAAGGTGAGAGAGGGTTCCCCGGTGTTGCCCTTAGAGCTGACGCACCTACAGCACTCTTGGTTAAAATCCCCTTCTGATGGTTGGTGTCTCAGGTGAAGGCACGGAAAAGCTGCCAGAAATGTCACTCTTGTGAAAATGAGGATGTCTTTAATGTCCGATCCAACTGCAGACTGTATCTCTTCAATCTGTAGCCCATCAAGTCAGTGTAACAGTTTCCATCGAAAAGTCATTGTTTAATGACCTGCATACATATATTGTGGGAATGGCATGATATGCTTTGTTTCCTCTCCGTAAAACCACTTCCTTACTTTCGCCTCTGCTCTCCTTTTACCAGGCTTCCATCTGCACTTATTTTTGTGTCAGCTCCTCTTTGGTCCTTCGTTGTAAGATCCCAGCAGAACGCTGTTAGGAAGCCGATGGCATCGGGGGTCTACAGAGGGCAAAAATCAGTCCTCACAAAGGTGGAGTAAAACATTCCCGTAAGTCCATTTCAAGCCTGAAGAGCAGCAACTTCGTCTGGAGTTGAAATCTTAACGGCAGGCATTGCGATGCTGGGAGAATCCCCCCCGGTTCATTTGTCCTGCTCTGCCGTCTCTCTTTCTAATACACACACACCCCATCTCCCTCCTTCTGCCTCTGTCTACAGAAACAGCAGCACTGAGGCCCCTCCCATAATCTATGCCTCCAGCCAATTATCATCCACAAAAACACGGGACCGTTTCCTTCCCCCAACCTCTCACACCTCCTTTTTTTTTCATGTAAAAGTGTGTCTAATAATCACACCAAGAATTAAACAGTTTGCACTTCTATAATTAGTAACAGTAACAGTTTGAAACATGAAAAGTCATCTTTTAGAAAAAATAACAGGATGAGTGCATCTAAGAATGATTAAATCAAGCTTATCTTTAATAACAAATGTAGCTTCTTAAATAACATTAAGAATGCTGAATAAGGTCTTACTAAAGTAGATTTAAGGTCAGTTTTTATAGGATAAAGGGAACTGAATCAGGCGGGCTTTGAGGAAAAATGTCTTAAAAACAGATTAACTGTAGTTAATTATTAAAGGTACTATAATCAGTCATAACCAAAGTTTTAAACATATAATGTCTCACTTATGGCCTCAAAAAAGAATAAAATGTAAATTATTCACAAAAATAAGGTGCTGCTATGTGTTTTGTGCCATGAATTTAATTAGTACTATGAAATAAGTAGGAAGCAAAATCCACATAATATTGCAATGCATTTTTAATTGGATTCAAACCATATCAAGTACGGGTTTTTTAACAAAGAATGATCCAATAAATATAGAGCTTCAGTTCATAACTCCTATTAGAGACTGGTCAGAAGTAGAGTTGTTTTTTCAATGCATCCACTATTTCTCAAACAGCAGAAAAATGAAAAGGTCAAATAATACAACCATTAAATACCTAAAACACACAACAAATTTAAGAATGCTTGCTTTCATTTTGGTTAAGTCAAACAAAAATAACTACAATCAAATTCTGTAAATATAGAAGTGTAGGAAAGAATTGTTAAATTTTTATCAGGTTATTCATTTTTGTTTTCAAATTCTAAGCAAATACTAAGACATTGTTCCTCTATGGACTTCCTCTTAAGTTTTATTTATGATTTTTTTTCTTCCTTTTTTTAGAAATAAAGATTCAATTAAAGGCTGTTATAATATGATAAATTAAGCTCTAATCATTTATCTTTATAAATGTTTTACAGTGACTGTTCTTTTTTTTACATCATATAATCCCTACAATTAAAATTTAAAAAGAAAGATATATTCTTGCATAATAGTCTTTAAACAGAAAGCTGCATAATTCTGCTAAAAATCAGAACTGGCAAAAAAAAAAATGTAAAGCAGTAAAAACATTTCAATTGCTGCACGGAAATCAACAGCGGATAAGCAGATACATATAATAATGTTGACTAGGTACGGTAAGTAATTTGCTTTGGTCAGGACCTAAGAATGTAATTTTTAATTAATCCTACTTTTTCACACAGTCTTAAAACAAAACAAACACCGTAGCCTACAGGTTCACTGCTAATGTTTTGTAATTAAGGGCAAAACGCTTCAGCCATTCTAACTAAAACTCGTGATTTCAATTACAGTATCACATGGGAATGAAGTGCTAAAACAATATGGAAATACACTCATTTCGTATAAATAATATATAAAGAATGAAGTAACATTTAAAGAAAAAAAACACATTTGCTTGACAAAAAGCAGTACAAAAATCCAGAGGGCCCAGAGATGATTAAAATAGTTTTATATAGATGAGATAGAAAGACTGAAATCACTAAGAAGTTTGTTATAGACAGATTTTATTGTGGATTTTCAAAGGCAAATCATCCATTTGTATATTTTCTATAGCTCTTTCATTCCAGTTTGTTAGCCTAAATCTGATCAGAATTTTGTCACCGAATCAAATATAAAACAGTTTCTATATAAATAATGTTTTTCTTCTTTTTGTTTTTAAGTAAAAAAAATTATTCAGATTAATCTATTACTGAAAGAATCGTCAACTAATGAGTAATCGATTAATCGTTAGAGTATAGACTGTAAAACATGCCTTTAGCTAACAGAGCAACACACAGAGTAGTAATCATTTCAACATTGTAAAAAAATACATAAACATTTTCCATTTATGGAAGGAAAAAAAACAATAACTTTTTCTTTCGTCAATATGCACCATCCAGAACTCCACTAGTGGAAATGTTTAAGTATCACCTGGTTTAATTTCATTTTAAAAAATCTTCTTTTGGGAACCTTTAGCAATCAGATTATTAATCCATTAATCAATAAAAAAAGAACAGATTCATTGATTTGCAAAATAATTGCAACCCTATTTTGAATGCATTTAAAGGACGGATCTTTTTCCAGATTTCTGTTGTACTTGACCTACTAAATACCATTCAGACATGACCTACGAAAAAAAAAGAAAAATCTGTCCCATTTCGGGGAAAAGAGCATTTAAGGAGTTTAAGGTGGATCAAAATTTTAACTATATTTTGAATCTATCAATGTGCACTTGATTTTATTTATGTTGCTCCTCTAATAAGATGAGCCCCACTGACAGAGCATGATCTAATTATTTTATCACCAATTTCTCAACACAGCAGGATCTTTTTTTTAAATCACATGGGCAAATCACCAGCTTTGCTTAGAGCCTAATGAACATTTGTGAGCCTAATTACTCTCACTCCCTTCTAGCTCACATGATGAGCAGATTACACTGAACTTGCCAAATTTAGCAAATACAGCAAGTAGTAATTACTGTCAGATTTAGCGCAGCACTTTCTGTGTCCCATCCCTTAAGAATTTCTGAAGACATTTTGCCTCGTGCAAGGAAATTTCAAATAGTGTGTTGTAGACTTAAAACAAAACTCAGATAGCCTTGAACACACATGCAAGCGTGCATGCTTGCATACTCCCTCCGTCTGCACCTTTCTCCCCAACAACCCAGACACTCTCCCCTGCTTTCACGCACCTCCTCAGTGCGCTCCACGAGGAGCTAAAAATAGATGACAGTAGGACTAAAGGGCTAGAAGAAGGGAAGGAAGAGGGGGTAGAGAGATGAGAATGGAAGTCGAAACAAGCAGCTCATCAAGAAAGACGGATGACATGGACAAAAAGAATAGAAAACGGTGCAAGGAAAAACAGTTATAAAACAGGAGAAAAACAAATCATAATGTCATATCACTTCTATCAGTAAGTCAGAGCTATTCACGGTGTGAACTATGACTCCTTATGTAAGACGTCCGGGACCTAACACAGCTGGCAGCCAAACTGCAACTTTATCCCACTGTGTAGCACAACAAATCGTATTTCGACATGAATATACATAAATAATCAATGATGTGTAAGGAGTTAGTCTATATAACAGAGTGGGATTTTATACTTCTGCTAAAGTTAGGTGAGCACAATTAATAAACAAATCACTGTTGTGACAGACTGGCGACCTGTCCAGGGTGTACCCCGCCTTATGCCCATATTCCTCCATAGATAGGTACCGGCCCCTCTGCGGCCCTGACGGAATAAGCAAGAGGGAGGGAGCATGGCTGGAATCATTACTGTTCAGATAACTTCATTACTAATCATCAATAATGCAGGGTTTACTCCTACAGCCAGGACTTACCTGTCAAACAACTATACAATGTAAGATTTACAGCTTAGACATTAATAAAAGCTACAGCTTGTAGCCACATGGTGTTGAATTCAAATTCAACACCATGTGAATTGTAAAGTTCCTTGAGATGACATGTTGTGAATTGGCACTATATAAATAAACTGAAATGAACTGAAACACCAATGCAAGACTCTTATTTACACATATGAAGCGAATAAAAATCAAGCTTAAAAACATGTCTTAACTCTCTGTATTCCCAAACTTGTTCTATGTCGTGTGGAAAAGTTTTTTTCCAAAGGAAGACAGTTTTCTTCATTGTCATCATTCTGTGTGCATTATGCAGACGTTGAGTGTAGAAGTTTATATGCAGCATTACAGCATTGGACAATTGGTATTTGGTTGCAGATGACAGTTGAATGACATGGCATCGTGCTCGATAACTTGTACAAAAAAAAAAAAAAAAAACATTTATTTGAATCAACAATAAAGGTATGCTGTTGCGGATCAACGACTATATATGGAAATTTTATTTAAAAAAGGCATTAAAAACTATTAGTTTACCCATTTTATTATTGTCTAACCTACTTTGGTCACTTTACTTAATAGTCCCCATTTACAAAATGTTGTTTTGGTCAAAGTGGCAATACTGTTCCATACATCAAAACTGTAACAGTATAACTTTTTGGAAAAATCAAAGTTTCTGCTGTTATGTAAAGCACATACAGAAGGTTTTTGTACACGTTAGCATAAGGTTTCATAGTGAATACCAATTTCTAGTGGCATTGCAAGAAATGTACAGTTTTGAACATTTCTACTAGTATTGTATCCACTGTGTTCTTAATTTAAATGCAGAAGTTGGACCTAAAAAACATATTCTATGGAGTTTAAAAACCATTTATGTACTTTCATTTTTGCTTTGTTTTTTTTTGTATCCAAAAGATTTGAGGAATTATATTCAACAACAGGCGAGTGCAGGGAGTGCACAGGAGCTATGTTTGTTGCTTGTTTTGGTGCAAATAAGGTTTAATCATTACGTTTTGAGAACTTAGTAAATTGCTTTGCAAATGCAGACATGATTGTTTAGTTTCCTGTTAGAGGGATGCAAATTCTGTAGAGTGATCAGCTCTGGATTCGGTTTCCAGAAAAGAGAATAAATTGATCATAATAGGTATGTGTTTGCTGTAACATTTGCAGCAGACAGGAGTCAGATACAGTGTAAATTTGTGGTAAAAGACAACTGCCTTGGCAGTTTGTCCAACATACTGCCATTGACACCCTTCATGAAAGCCTGGTTTATATGCCATGCACTGAACATAAGTGGGTCGACGGCATGCAGAAATGCAGTCACACACCTCCGAATCATCTGAAGGCAGCAAATCATTTTGCTTAGGAAGCATGTTTTTAAATCAAACTTTTTCCTTCCACTCAACCAAAAGCACTCTATGGACAGCCAGCATTAGCGAAGGCCCACTGTGTCTCTCCCTTCTTGTTAAAGGTGACAATTTCCCCCAAAGGGTGGAACATGACACACAAATAGCATAGCATTTGTACATTTAAAAGCAACCCTTTTTTATATGTTTTTTTTTTTAATTGGTCACATGTAACTTTAAAACTTTTGCTCGAAGGTGAATTCTGTTTTTATTTAGTGCAAGGCCTAAAAACAAACAAAAAAATAATGACTTTAAAGTAATAAAAACAGCTATTTTTTTCTTAATAGCTAGAATACATAAACCTATTCATTTAGATTTAACTGTTCTATTCTAAATGCCTGTTTCAGCTCCATCCCACTGATAATCGGAGAGCAGCTGTAATATGAACCACAACATGAGATCCTACTAAC